ATCAAGGCTACTAAGACCATGCGGGTTTCAATCCCAGGGTGCATTGCTTTTTGGTGCTGCTTCAGATTTCTGGGATGCCTGCTACCCAAGTCGTGCTCCGATTGTTTTGCTTCAATCAAAGGACCGCACCCCAAAAGTCCACAAACCAATCCATCAGTTCCCAATCCTCAACCCCCCCCCACAAAAACGCAAAGTCACAAATGTTCCAATCCATCAGTTCCCAATAGTTCCCAGTCCTCCAAGGAACCATTTCCCAAACCTTCCGTTCCACTTGCCCAAAAGAACCGAATTCGCTACAGCCGATGTGCTTCCACCAAGGAAGGGTGATCTGTTGGGGCGATCCCAATCATGGCGGCCAGCCAGACGAGGAGCTCCAGGTGCCGGGCGTGAGGGGTTGAGCGGAGCGGATGAGGGATCACCAGCGTTCCCAGGTCTAGGGGAGCGAAACAAAGGCCATACCAAGAGAGGTATCCAGTGACCTGAACTAGGACCCGTCACCTGGGATACCTATGAGATAGTCTATAGGGTCATTCAACCTCTGTTGGTAGGAGCAGCAAACTGGCCGGAAATGGCGAGAGAACTGGCCAGTTTCTCAAGGAAGGGGTACCTGAAATAGACCAAGCGAAAGGAATGCCAAGGGAGAGAGTTTGGCCAGTTTCTCAAAAGACTGACTGGTGCGACTCGTGATGAAGGATAGAATGAGGGAATGACCCAGATGATCCCAGATGTAATTCCTTAGGATCCATTCCCTCCTTGCCTACTAAGCACCAGTCAGAAGAAGAACTGAGAAAGTGAGAGTGGGTACAATGCTGACAAACCAGACTGGGGCCTTTAAGGTAATCCTTCTGGGGAAGTTTTCTATTTTGCCTGGTTTCTATGTTTATGTTTTTCTCGTTTTTTTGGGGGGATTAGCATCCTGGAATTGACCCTCCCTGCACTAAGCATGGAGGTGCAGTTCACCCCATACTATTGAAACCTGTCTAAAACATCTTGGTTGAAATCCGGGTGAAGCGCATTTGGTTTGAAACCTGTTCCCGAACTTCCCTTTTGTCGAACTACCCAAGCCCTGATCTTTCCGATTCTTTGAGTCGACTGCTCTTTGGGACGCTTTTGGAGGTGCCCCAACACCCAAAGTTCCCAGACATCCAGATCATGTCTCATGGCTCTTTTTGTAGCATATGTTCTATACAGTCTAGCACCACCCAGTTAGCATACAGTATATATGAACACCACCCAGTTGCCTCACAGTCTCTAGCACCCACCCAGTTAAGTATATGTCGGCATACAGTCTAGCACCCACCCAGTTGCCTCACAAGCTCCCGAGCCGAGGAACAGCTTTGCGACGTGAGCCACGTCGTGGCGGGCGGCCGCGGCTTCGCAGCGCTGAAGACGGATGGCCAGGCAGCGGCTTTGCAGCGGGGACACTTTTTGATCAAAGACCTGGGACACTTAAATTTTTGCCCAAGCACCTTCCAGGCAGGTGTTTGGGGTGGGTGCCAGGAGGGTCCAGTCATACCTTCTGAGGAGGTACTTGGAGCCCTATAGGGTTAAAGATAATTTGTATCAAAAAAACATCAAACACGTTGTCCTTTGGTATAAAGATCATCTAAAACTCATCAATGTCAAGCGTCTCGGACGGGAACGTCTTCCTACCCGGTGAGTCTTTCTTACTACAAATATGTACAAATTGAGGTAAGCCAACACATTTGAGGTGGTTCAGTAGGGATGTTCTGAGCTGCACTCACCCGTTCACTTCTTGTCCGAAGGGGCAAATGCATGGATCTTATCATATCCCAAAATCATAGATTGAGGCGAGGTGGTCTTGGTTTGACTGGCGCTTAGTAGAGGAAAAGGGAATGACTTCCTACTATAGATAGTCTTTGTAGGTTCCATTAGGTTCCACTCCGATCATTGCTTACTTTCATCGCACCAGTGAGTAGTCTCCCATTTCTGGAAAATCCATCTCGTCGGAGATTCTAACAATTGTTCTCCTCCTTCTATCCTCGTCCTCGTCCAGAGAAACCCAGACCCTCCCCCAGACACGACCCATGGGACTGCCATAGGACTGCCGAGAAACGGCCAGGGGTGGTGCCAGGGGGGTCAATGGGGCGGCAGTCCTATGGCCCAGACACTCCATGTGTGCCATATATGCCTACATTGACCCCCAAAACCACCCCAATGTAGTGGCATACATGGAGTGTCTGGGATCCATTTGAAACCAGTTCGCCACTTCGCTGGTGTACATGGACGTGCCACCCTTAGCCTCAGCGCCTCCAGGGTATTCCTGGTATTCCTCATAGTCTCTTCTAAAGAAATTCCCAAGGACAAACCAAACCCCAACAACATCCTTAATTTGGTTGTTTTGACATCCTCAACAAAACAGAGTAGTCCCATCATTCCGAACACCAAATTCAACATCCTGGCAGGTCCTTTTCTGGGGCTCCCGCACCTACAGCGGCGTCGCCCTGGGAGCCCGCCGCGTCACGACGCTGGTGGGTGCCTTTGGTGGTGCCTGGGCGGCGGTGCTCGAGGGAGGAGGACTGGTGGCCTGGGGCGACCCCAAGAGCGGCGGCGAGGCCGGGGAGTGGGCACTGGGTCCGTGGGCATCCGTGGGTCCGGTGGAAGTTCGGAGACTTCGGAGACGGAACTTGGTTGGATAATAACATGCATGCGATGTGGAATGGAAGATGATGAGGTTTTTGCAGTTACATTGACCCTGGAAACCACTTCAATGGAGGTAAACATGCCAGTCCGGGGGTTTTCCCGGCTGTTCTCGGCGCCCGAAAGCCGGGAAATGTGGGATGTGGATGTGAGGATACCAGCATCCTGTCCGGGTGTCCCGGAAAATAGTGTAGGGATGTGTAGGGTAGTGCCAGGACACCCAGAGAAGATGCTCCCTGGTAGATTTAGGTTTTCAGAGGTGAGACATGGCACTAGCACACCAAGATGTCGTTTAGATGGGGGTTCGGTTCTCAACCCCCGACCCTGAGGTGCCAGTGCCATCTACTCTGAAACCACTGGGACTGCCGATCAATTGACCCCCCTGGCACCACCCCAATGTAGGTAAATATGCCAAACATGGAGTGTCTGGGATAGATTCTTATTGGATCTTTTGGGATTCTTTATGTTTTGTGAGGTGTTTGGCTGGGGTGTTGCCGGTGACCAAAAAAACCATTGGAGTTTGTTCGCTCAAAAGGAGTTCTGAGTGACTTGGGGTAGTCGTTGTAGAGATGCAGTCGGCACTTGGAGATAGTCAACAGCAAAAAGACTTCTAAAATCTGTCATCAATCTGTAAAATCTTTTTTTTGGGTGCTGTCGTGTGGTGTGGTTTGACTACGGTGCTTCGGGCCAGAGAGGGGTGCAGGTGCAGATCGATGCCCCCCCGATCGGTGAAAAACCCTGGGCCGCCCCTGCCGAGCGGCACGGACCAGGTTCCACCCGAGGTGCTGGAGTTGGTTGAGAGTCTTTGAGGATGTCCGTGGTTCAGCTTCTGAGTCACCTCGGTCCAGGGACGACCCAAGGTTTTCGGTCCCATCCGAGCGACCTCCTTGAGAACAAGTATGACGACTGGACCCAGTGAAAGGAGGTCAGACCTGGGAAGTGACACCCAAAACAGATGATCACGGAGATGGACCCCAGGAGAGGTTCGAAACACGAGTCGGAATCTTTTTCCAGAAACACAAGACTTGGATCGATCATTTTGGATTGACCCATTGTCATCGGCGAAAAAACCGCCTGGCTGTACAGCTTCCACGCATGGCCGGACTGCTCCAGACAGAGTCGGATTTGTGGGAAGGTCTGACCAAACGGATCTTCCCCTGTGATAGTGATGACACTACCACACTCCCAGCACGCAGGGAGATCCAAAACCCTCCCAGCAGGGAAGAAAAAAAGCCGAGGTGACATGGGGTGACCAATTCCGACCAGGGCTGGAACCACCTGGTTTGGACTCTTTTCGCACCAAGTGGATTGATGACTGAAGTCATCAGATTTCATGGTTTATGGATTCCTATGGATTTCTAGCTTTGGGGCTTTGGGGGGCTTTCGGGGTAGACTCATTTCTTTTCTCCGAGTTTCGGGGCTTTCCCCTCGAGTTTCGTGGCTCCTCCTGGCCCGGCCCAGCATATCGGGGTGTTTGAGGTGGAAACGAGCGCATTTGGCCTGGTAAGCCACGGTGGGTCATGAAAATGGCGACACCCATCTCTGAGGCCAACACGCAGGGGGCAAGCAAGCATCTGCAGACACCACCACACCACCAGGGTCCAAAGTGCAAAGACCATTTTTTGTTTGCACCTTCGGTCCTTGTCATCTTGTAGATGTTGAGTTAACACGGGAATGTTTGGGGATGCTTGCTCTCCTTCTGTATAGCTCCCAATATATGCCAAAAGCAGTGATCATCGGACCACAAGTTACCCCCTATGTATACAACCAGACCGTGTATTGATTCCCCAGACCATGTGACAGATCAAGCCCCATCTCGGTGAAGATTCTGGAAGCCATTCGGTGAAGATTCCGCGGACGATCCAGCCATAGAATTCTGCTGGTTTCCATGGTTTCTTTTATGTGAGACCCTACCTTTGGGTCTCTTCATCAGGCTGATCCATCAGGTTTCCTTGCAGCTTTTCTTGCCATCATTACTCATGCTCATGAAATATACTACCCTGTTTCATCTACTTTGCAAACAGTGTGGTTACTTGCACTTTTGCATGCTGGCCCTAGCACTCACCCTTCCTGGATTAGCTTGCAGCTGCTTGCGCATATGGCATTGCTTGGGCAGATGGAACGCGTGAAATCCCTGCACTCCTCCCTGTTCATTGCCCAAGTTAGTGCTTGCCCTGACCAGGAAAAGGACTGCCTGGGTTTGGTTGGGCTGCTAGGACTGGAAGGGTAGAGTGTTATGCTTTGCTATTTGCCTTTCCATCTGAGGTTTCACCAGAGCTCTGTTTCGTGGACGAATTGCCGTCCTGCCAGTCCTGAATTTCCATCCGCATCCTCCCGAGGCACTTTGGCCTTGGCCGAGGACCCGGTGATTTGGGGTGCCTTGCGTCGAAGATTGGGGTGCCTTGCGTCGATGCTGGGTGATTTGAGCGATTTCCTGTAGTCAGTGAACTCGTCATTGAGTACCAAAAACATGCAAACACATGCCGTCATTGCTGGTCCTGGTCTTCAAGACCAGATCGATGAGTCAGTTTACATCCATTTTACCTACCCAGGAAAAGTGGATAAGCTGCAGCCGCCCTTTTTTGGGCGGCTGGTTTCCCCACAAAAGATCCAACAAGTGGCAACAGGATTCACCTCTCCTTTCCAAGGATCGAACCGGTTCACGCAGTTTCGATCAGTTTCGTGGCCCTGAGAACCGGGTTTTTCGTGCGGGACCGCACGAAAAACCACCTGCCACGAGCGCAGAATCGTACCACTCAAAGTCCTGGCATGTCGCAGTTTTTTGGGGGTCAAAAGGCTACCCTCTGGCCGAGTGACGAAAAGACTTAAGTCGATGCACCGACCCTGAGTATCGATTCGTGGTTTCGACCCGTGCCTTCCGCATATATACCAACCCTGGTAGGAGGCGAGTGGTCTGACAACTTGGGGTATCTCGATGGTGTTGTTTTTTTTACATGTTTTTACTTTATCTCTTAGTCGTCGTCCTTGAAATAAATGTGTTTCGTCTAACCCTGCTTGCAGGACATCATCTCCTACAACACAGCCATGAATGCCTGCGAGAAGGACGCCCCTGGTGCCGGGCCGGGGCAGAGGGTCGAGGAATCCAGCAGCTTGGATCAACGACCTTCGTTGTTAGCCTGAAAAGATCAACTGTTACTACATCAAACACTTGGCCGATCATGATCACCAGCACCCCAGCACCCGATCACTCGCGGTGTCACCAATGGTCAGACAAGACGTCGCAGCACCTCCATTTCGGAGACCTGTCGAGGCGGATGACCTGGATCAGGACCTTCAGTACGTCCTTGAGATCCCAGAATGAGGTCACTTGGTCCCTGAAGAGGTCACTTACAGACTCCAAAGAGGTCACGTACTGAAGGTCCTGGGATTTGAACTCTTGGTTTGCCCATCCGCACCAATCGCAGACTCTTCGTTGGGCCAATGCCGCGATGCTGCTCCTCGAAGCAGGCGCGGGAGTGCGCGGTATCCCGATCCACAGTCCACCTGCCCAGTCCGGCCCGTTCACTGTACAGCTGAACGGCGTTTGGTGTTTCGTTGAGGTAAACATACGTAGGAAAACACTTTGCGCAAGTAAGGGAAACGCGTCGTTGTTTGGTTACACAGTTTCCAGGAAATTGATTTGCCCTTCAGAATTTGAACCAAGATTGACATAATATGAACTAGTGTGTGAAATCCCCTGAAGTGAACTCCGGCAAGTAGAGTAGGCAACAGAAAACATGAAAACATATATCGAAACATATCGAAACAGCGTAGTGATCAATTTGGAGATATCATCACGTACAGATTCAACCTTGGCCCATTGTGGAGTGCACCGCATAGAGGGTAGAAGGAGCTACCATCCTTCCCAAAAGGCATGTGATTCTGTAGTAGTGTAAATTAGCGGAAGACTCTGTAAAGCACAGAGATTGATTATATTATCAATTGATAGAACAAAACCCAGATGGTCCAACTATTTCTTGTTCCAGTGTTGGGAGTGTCAAATGGACATTTCCGTGGAAAACTGGATCCAAGAACCGGATATTGATTTCAGAGATCTTCATCCAATGGTCGCAAACCCGCTTTTTGGGAAATCAGTCGATGAACGCTTCCGAGTTTGAGCGTGACATAGATGTCTTTGGCACACCGTGCAAGCACCGTGGAGCAGCTCGCTACCCCACAAAGAGAGGTTAAGTGACCTTCTAGGACCTTACTTGGGATAGTGGAACTAGGGTTCTTCAACCTCCCTTGGCCAGGCAGCTGCGAGCTGCGAGCATCTGAGACGAGCTGCTTTCCAAGCAGAACAGAACAGTTCCCCAGACACTCCATGTGTGCCATATATGCCGCCCCATTGACCCCCCAGTCAACCACCCCTGGCCGTTTCTCGGCAGTCCAGACTGGCAGTCCCATTCGTCGTGTCTGGCTTCGCGGCTGTTCGTTCGCATCCGGACACGACTGACGACTCCGCAAGTCCGGAATCTGGTTTCGTCTGTTGGTTGGAACTGGTCCGTCAAGACGAACATGCATGGGGTGTCTACCCGGTGTCTACCGCGGTGCAGTTGATGAAAGAAGTCTCAACTCTTGGATTGGATTGGGGTTTTCTCTGCACCGAAAGCATAGGGGGCCCGAACTCATTGGGAAGGTTCTTTTTTGCTTCCGGCGCACAGGCCCTTGCTATGGAGGGTCCGACACCTGCCGTGGAGGGTCCCAGGATTCTTAGGGCAGTAACTTTCCAACAACGATCTGGAGACTCTAGGTTGATGAATTCCCAGACACTCATAGACACTCCACGTATGGCATATATGTCTACATTGACCCCTAAAACCACCCCAACTGATCGGCATATATGGCAGTCCCATGGAGTGTCTGGGATTTGATGCTGCAGATCCTTTGTTGTTTCTGCTTTGAGCGACTTGCGCATGTTCGGGTTCAGGTCTCCATACTTTGTAACCTTGGGAGATGAACAGATATGAAAAGCACTGCCATGGGCTATCGTTCATGGCTACCCCAAGTCGGCCAATGGCGCCCCTACCTTCGGACGGTTTGGATAGAGGGCCCCATACCCTCTGAGTTTGAGACCATCCAGCCATATCCAGCCCAGCTGTCGTGGACCAACATGGGACCCTGCCAGCGGATGGACCACGTCAGGTTACAACAGCTGTGCCTCTTGGAAAGTGAGGAAGAAGACCCGGGAGTGGTGGAGAAAGTGCGTAAGAGTGATGACCTTGGACTAATTTGGACTATATAGATGTCATTGCGTAATTTTTGGGTGCAGGCCACTGCCCAAAGACGACACCTGGTGCGAGCCACTGCCTGGGCCTGGGGAATTTGAGTTTTTCTTGCTGAATAAACCCTTTTGAATCTGAGCTCAAAATGACCGTCAGATTTTATACAGTGGTTTCAGAGTAGATGGCACGTTTCCCCCAAGATGTCCTAGACAGATGGGGGTCCATATAAACCACCGACATTGGGGTCTGTGCCATCTACTCTCAATCCACTATAGACTGATTTTCTATGATTTTCTCTACAAAAGCACAATCAATCTCTTGTGCCTCTTTTGTCCAATCATGTTGATTCAACCTTCATATGTTTATATATGTTCAGCACTTCTCCAAAGAATCAACCTCAACCTTGGATGTGTATCATTGCTCAAGACTCAAAAGGTTGAGCTGAACCATTTTATATTGAACAGGTTCTCAGCACTACAAGGGTTGAGGTTTGATTCTTAGTCGGGCAGATTTCTCGCAGAGGCTGGTTTGGCAATTTATCACTGTCACTATAAAGTCTCATTCCCGACATTCACCGGTTGTTCCACAGAGGATATTTTGAGGAGGTTCTTGATGTTGATATACTGATTGCACAACTCTTTTCGGACGTTGCACAAACAATGCTCAAACATTCAGTTTTTGAGCGTAATCAATGCATACTGCTGGGTTGTCCTTTAGGGGCGCCCATGTCCTTTTTGATGACGGGGCTTGCTTCGAAAACACCAAATAGATAAGAGAACAGTAAATCAGATCCCCACTAAACATGTAGTGGAAGCTTCGCCACTATCTATTTGGGGATCACTATCAGGTGACTGTCCCTGTGATTGGCGTGTTCCTCTTTTCCAAGTTCTTGGACTCCAAGTCCACGATATCAAAGTGCATTGGGCCATGGCTTCAGGGTGATTCAATGAGCTCAGTAAGGACAGTCCTTTCCCTGTTGCACTTGAAAAAACTGGTCCATCTAGGGAATCCAAACTGCTTAACATCGATACGAACAGCAACCATCTCAATGGCCAACCATGCAGAAGTTGTTCATTGACCAACCATGCTTGGGGTACGCTGGACTCATCGGTACCGACCTCGTTAGGCCAGCAGTTTCTTCAAGTCGAAGAAATGGATCGAAGCCCTGGACTTGGCATCTATGACTCAGGGCACCAGCGGCCGGGGGAGCCCGGTGGACTCGGGACTCGATGCGCCGTGCCGCGTGAAACAGTGGGTTAGGGTGAATAGGACTGGCCTCCAACCTGCTTTATGGTGCATCAGTTGGATTCACCAAGCCTGGCAGTCGCAGCTGAAGACAGTCTCCGTTTTCGTCCTTTCCGGTCGGACATCTGCCCCCGGCGCTTTGGACGCCCAGGTGTTTTGGGCTTCTCCTCCGCCTCCTTCTGGCGTTCCGCGCTGTTTCTGGCGCAGGGTGCCGTCCCTCACGTCGATGTGGCATGGAGCGGGGGTCAGAACGGGGGCATGATCAGAACATATCGCAACCGTTTTTGTTTTATGAACTTGATTCCTCGTTTATTTGTTTCTCATCTCTGACCCTTCAGTCTCCTGATCATCTCTTGATCCTTCTTACCTGCGCCCCGCAACCAAACGCACCCGATCTTCTCTGCTTCGGACGACGGTTCCACCCCCTCGGGCTTCTCCTTCGGACGGTTTCTCCCGCAGGAGCGCGGTGCTGAGCTCCTGCGAGGCGAGCGCTGAATGGGAGATGGCCCTCGCCAGCCTCGAGAGGCCGAGGGAACCGGGTTCAAGGGCGGTCGGTCGACCGACCATGTGGCGCCCAGACCAGGTTCAAGCGGCGCCATTGGGAGTGGCGCCATTAAAACACATGTGTGGGAGTTGAGACCAGAGGGACGATAAGAGTGATAGAAAGTGACACACACACACACACATTCCTGTTTCTTAGGGGGTCTTGGCCAAATAAAGTAACTTGTTCGAGACCTCCTCAAAACAGATCCAAACATATGCCAAGTTGTTGCGTTTTCTCGACAAAGACTAAAGAAGAGCACCGGTTCCTTTTGCACAATATTATATATAGATTAATAAATAATTTGGATCGTTAACATGTATTGTTTCCACCAGACCATCTGGTGAGAAAAGACAATATCATCGAGCGGCAAGTTGCTTGCGCCCCTTGGCACCACTAAGTAAAACTAAAAAAAGGGGCGCCGGCGCCGACCACGACCGCCCGCACAACAGGTATGAACAACTCCAACTGAGGGCTGACAAGCATGGAACACAGCGCTCCATTGGACCAACACCGAGGTAGTTGGAACAGGGGTCGATGTAGGTACAGTATACGTCTTGCATACGTGGAGTGTTCTGGGGTGCGCTCTCAGCTTACATGATAGGGTGGCCGAAGCGTCAACTGACAATGCCGCAGCAATTGTGGCCTATATCGCCAGTCAGAAAAGTACGTGGTTTGTGCAGTTGTTGCTCCCAGTGACAAAGTTGCAGCAAGTGAATATAGGGTCTCGGCGATGTCTAAAGTATATTGCCGATCAGAGCAGCCACTTGAAAGTTGTACGGGAAGCTAGAGCTAACATGAGCTAGCAACATGCTATAACATGCTGGATGTACTGTACACATTGGGAAACGTCTTTGTTTGAAGGTGTGCTGGAAAATCAGTTCCCAGAAGCATGGCTTCCAAGTGTCACAGAGAATAACGCTGTAAAGGATGTAACATATTCTGTTCGGCTTCATACAATCGAGTCAAACGATTCAGTGTTGGAAGAACTAGAGGCCCAGGTTCCTTGGGTTTGCTATGTTCAGATCATGTTTACTTACTTCTCAACAGCTCACACAACATCATGTTTATATAGTTTAACTATATTTTCATGTTTGTCCCCTGAATTCTGGAACCATGTCCCAAGACTGGACCCCAAGCGGCCGCATCGTTCCTCCGCCCCACATCCGTCCTACCCTGAGGGCTTTTGAGCATCACTTGGAAGTCTCCCTGGTGCTCAACAACGCCGCGATCAGCGCCATCAGCGCCGGCGCAACTGCGGTCACTGCGTCAACGTGGCAAGTGGGCGTCGAGAGGTGACTGGCGCGCCGCGCGTCGAACAACACTGCGGTTTTTTCTATGGTAGTGTTAAAAGTTGCTGGAAGTGCGCCTTTTAGTGTTTTTTGTTTGTTTGTTTACCGGCATGTTGCGACCATGTCCGTTTCATCACATGAAGGTGTCCACTTTGGGCCTAAAACCAAACACAATGGATACACTGCAGCGCCTCCCTTGTTGAGGTGTTTTTGCCACACAGATTTAGGGGGGTGTTTTGCTGCGGCATCAAGCGATGCATCGGAATGCAAACTCTTCAGGACCTCAAGACAACAGAAGAGATGACCCTGGCCCGAATCGTTCACTCTTGCCGCACCTCACGAACGGAAGAGTGTTCATCACCTGGGGTACACCTGGGGTACACCTGGTACAGTGGGGAGTGTTTTTATTCGACTTCAAGAGGTGGACGCAGATGATCTATAGGGAAGATTGAGGAGGTCAGTCATCGGCTACAGCAGGTTGCAGCACCCTTGGGTCTGCCAGTATGCAGTGCTGTAGCTATGTCCAGTCTTGAAGACGGCTACCCTTGGCAACAGTGGTCCCCTTACTTGGGGAACCGAGGCGGGGTGCGCCATGGACATGATGGTTTTGGAGGTCTGTGTACCTGCAGTGTTGTTGTGTGTACCTGTAGCTTCACATGATGTGTTGTTGTGTCCTTGGTGCATTGTTTGTTGCGAAAGGGATTTAATTATGTCATGTATAGATACACCTAGAACTTGACTTGAGTGACCTCTATTATAGACCATAAACCACCTAAAACATGGCCAAACTTCCTATCAAAACGGAGGTCATGTCTGGGTTTTAGGCATATATTGTTAGTAGTTATGTACCCGAGATTGAAGGACACTGGATGCTTTTGGGATTCTTTTGGATGGTTTGGAATTCTTCTTCGGAACACTTCAAAATGGGTCTGTAACAGGGAGACTTCCCAGGCAACGACCTCCTGGAAGAAAGAAAACAGATCCAGCAGTTTATTCATTGGGGCGCTTCAGAATGCTTTAAATGGGGGTGGATATAAAGCACCTTTTGGGGATTGTGCCATCTACTCTGAAACCACTGTAATACAACATAAGTCACTTTCCCACAGCACGGTCAGCGCAGGCTGCTCCTTGCCGCGTCCCGCCAGCTGCGTGTGGACGTGATCGGATACAATGCGCTGTGCAGCGCGCAGGAGAAGAGCTGCGTCTGGCATCAGGCCAGTGGGGGAAAGATATAGCCATATATATTATAATGTTATATTTGCATCACATGCATCCATCCTCCAAAGACTCCATAGTATATTTTAAAACTATCTAAACATATCCATAAATATCCTAGATTGACCCTTGAAACGACACAAATGTAGTCATATTCCATCCATGGAGTGTCTGGGATATGCTAACTCGGAGTTCCAAAAGGCTGTAAGGTGGCGCGGCCAATGATGTTTTTCGCCCAGAGGGGCTACGAGGTGGGCTGTCGCCGCTTCTCCACTCACAGGAGGTCCCTTGCACTACAGTGGTTTCAGAGTAACTCGATGGCGCAACCACACCCGTACCCCAAGATATTTTGTAAAGGACTCCATGAATAAACCACCGAACTGGGGGCTAACTTGTGCCATCGAGTTACTCTGAAACCACTGAGTGCTTTTTGTCGGGCCTGGAATCCCCGCGCAGAAGAGCGACTTCGACTGTGATCGAACTCGGTGGAGGGTCCCCTTCGGTGGAGGGTCTCCCCCCTGCTGCGGGGACTCTGCAGCAGTCGAGTGCACCTGCAGGAGGGCTGGGCTTTGCAGCCGGTGGAGGGCTGCTTCGAGAGAAGCAGGGGGACCATTCCCAGACCACCCAATGGTACTGAAGTAGTGTTGGATGGGTCATGTTCATGGGGTAAACGCATGGTCTGAGATTGGCGACCTGCAATTGGCTTGCAGAGAGATGGAGGTGAACACAATTGATTGAACACATGGTGAGCCCGAGCTCACACATTCTGCAACCAAAGTGAATGTCATTTGTGAATGTGGCCAAGCAACGCTCTGCTGGAGCCAGTGGCCATCTCCAGAAGCCACAAACCTGTGTCCCCAGTCACGCAGGCCTCTCACACATTGACTGTGCCTCTCCCCAAAAACGTGTCCTTTGCACACATGTCCACTCACTACATGTCTCCACCCACAGATCTCCACACCATAGTCGACCCGGACCCTATAGCGCCCACAGGCGACCGGACCGAGTCGGGTCCTTTCCGCCGAGCGCCGTGCGCCGGAGCTGCGGCTTCCTCGCAGGTCCTCTCGTTGGCCTCGCAGCTCGCCGCGCGGAGCCTGCGCACTGACGCCTTCGCCGCCGGCGCCGTGTTCTTCGCGTCGAAGGAGGCCGTGGGTGGCAGAACGTGGCAGCGAACGCTGCGGCTGGCGGACTGGGTGGCAGAACGGCAAGTGGAGCTGGAGGCTTGACTTTGAAGGGGTGGCAAGAGTTGAAGTGCAGCTAAACTCGGGTGTTCATGCAGCTAAACTCGAAGCAGGCAGAGCTTTCATGCACTTCTGCAGCAGTTGATGAAGTTGTTTATGTGTGATGTTGTCGGCATTTTGGGTGGTGAACATCCTTGTTCCCTTCCATTAAATTGCAGAAGAGTGTTGAAAGGGGTCTCCTGCAAAAAAAGGGTGCAAATATGTGCAAATCCCGGAAACCGTCGAAGGTGTTCTGATTGATCCAACCAGGTGATGTTGCGCAAATTGCATCGAGCCCATGGATCAAAATCTCATTCACCTTTTGAGGGTCAGTGTAGTCCCCTGCAGATTGGCACCCCAGTCGACCAGTGGGTGAAATGTCTTTGGAACACGGTCTTCCACCACCACCACGGGTCAATCCTCAGGTTCTGTGGTCAGACGGTCAGACCTAGCGGGAGGCTAGTGGTCAGACCAGTCTTTGCTGGATGGATTCTAGACATCCGATCTGAAAGCACACAATCGCCCGGATAGAGAAAAGGCACGCCACTGGGAAAGTCTCAATTAGGCCTCAAGTCACCAGAAAGGCGGAGAACAGAAGTGTGGGTTACTTGAAGAAGATCTTCCTTCAAAGATCCCCAAAGATGGAATCAATCTATAGTATATCTAGAGTAATTATCTATAGCAGCCTTTTGAGGAGAAACATCTCCGTTTCCTTTTCATCAGCTGATGGCAGAAGCTGAGCAGTCGAAGAGCGTATTGGTGGGATCCACGGAGCACCAGGATCCTGGTTTTGCGGATGATCGAATGATGTTGAACATTTTCCCTCATGGGTGAATCCATGCGAATCCCTGAACAATTAAGTTCTTCTTTCTGTTCCCACGCGGTTCCTTAATAAAGCAAATCCAAGATAAACTGCCAAAACCTTTTTTTGTGGGGGATTGGGGAAAGCCAACTCAAAACGAAGAGGTGCAAAGCTTTGCACCTCCAAGGAATCCGTCCAAACGCCGTGGCCCGAGGATGTGATTAAGCAGCAAGCAGTGCTGGCCGCCTTGGCCACGCGCGGCCAAGCGCTGAAGGACCACGTCGGATGCAGCGAGCGTCGCGCGCAACAAGGGGATGGCGGATGGCAGGTTTCGGCACGGTGGCCACACCAAAGCCAAGGAAGGAAGGTGGGAAACAGGCTTCTTACTGTAACTACCCTCATCCCTTCCCCTATGGATCCATAGGGGATGAGTTTTCCAGGGTGGATCAATAGGCTTCTTGCACTTCCTGAACTCATCCCCTATGGATCCACAGCCACCCTCTGAGCATGAGAAGGCGATGTGTTCCACACTTTCAACCTTTGTCCAGGAGGGTCCCGTAGCGAACCTGAAAAGATGCCAGTGGAATCCCTATAGGAAAAAGGGCATGGAAGTGGATGCCACCCGAACCGGGGGTCCCAACTGGGTTCTCATGGTTCTTGGATGACCATGAGATCAAACAGCTATGGCCACGTGAGATCAAACAACACTGGGTTTGTGGATGACCAGATCAATCCGAAGACCACACCCAGCGAACAGCGGCCTGGCCATCCACCAGCACTGGCGCATGTGAGGCCCATCATCGTCCAAAGAATCCGGGCTTGTTCCGCGTCCGCCACACATTGAGGGTTTGGTTCGAGTGCGATTCGGGTCCGGGCCCTTGAGGGCCGTGGGGATAGCTAAGGGCGGAGTGTATCCCAAGCAGCAAATTGAACCCTCAGAAATCAGAAATGGATCAAAACTCAAAACATATCAAAGCCCTTCACCTGTGAGGGTCAGTGCTTCTTAGGATATCCTCAATCAACAAATTGGGTCGATTTGTGCGATTCAGGTCAACCATATCACAAATTCTTTCACGGAGCCTTCTGGGCTGCTCCTGGCGCTTCTTCGGTATTCAGGAAATCTGAAACTCTTCCTGGGACCCTCAGTGGATGTATCCTGGTTTCGGAGCTGCAATAGCCCAGCAAAGGGGACGTTAACCTTCAGTGGTCCAGTCGTTTTTTGGTTTGCTCTCGCAATTTTAGCCCCAAAAGAATGGGTGCGAGAATAGCCGGTATTTGTTTTGGTTGATGATGTAATATGAACCTTCAGCATAGCATGAGGGAAGACCCCCAAAAACCCTCTGGTAAAAAGAGTCAAACGCCTCCTGGGTTGTCCCTGGCCCTAGTCCAATGCACAACCAAGTGGGAACCATTCCCAGGTCAAAAAACACCTGAAGATCTTATTCCGGTTGCCGCCTGTGCTAGGAGTAAACCTGAACATCATTGAATCTACCCAGCAACTGCACAATCATTGCTACCCCAGAGAAACCAGGAGTTCACCCTCATTCCGCTCTGTTCGCTTGGCTGGAAGCACCAGTTGCCCGAATTGATCAGAGTAAGTAGACATCATCCACAGAAATCTCCTCAGATCCTTTCCTCGATCATTCAGCACAAGTTGTGCCAGAGGGCATTGCAATTATAAATAACAGTTTTTGTTGGATGAGATACAGACTTCCATGACTTCCATGACTTGCAATTAATTACAAGTGTCCTTTTTCCCCATGGGGCAACTCAACACCCATAAGAAGTGTTTCACTATGGCCAACCAATCAAGCATGCAACTTCCATGTGGGTGTGAGATTTTCTTCACTTTCCTATGGGGCAACTCGACATCTCTGACACCTTTCACTTCCCCACCCTGTTACCACCCTGTTTTTGCTCCTCGGTTTGTTTGGCATCGATGGTTCACAACGCGTAAGCACCGTGCTTGCAGGATGGCTGTGAGCGCCTCTCCGGTTCAGCTGTTTCGCTCTTGGAGTCGTTGCCGAAAAGAGAGACGTGCTTCCTTGAAACCCCCGCGGACGAGTCCCTGGGGAGCCTGGACGAGTCCCTAGGGTGGACATCCATGATATCATTTACCTACAGCCAGGATTGGACGCGCTCACCTAGATGTGTGCAAGCAATCTTTCCAGGTCCCTCATACAGTTGGTATAAAGGCCAAAGCGCTGCATGATCCATGCCACTCTATTATGTGTGGAAAGACATGCCTATACATCGACCCCTTTTCAACCACCCCAATGTGGGTATAAATATGCCATACTGCTGGTCTAAGCTTTTGAGGTAATCGAACCGCGGGAACTCTGGGCCATGTACTCCCCACATTAAGAGTTCGAACAGATTCGTACAGCCCCAAAGCATGTAACAAAAGTTAACAACATGTACCGCACCTCTGCGGTGTCTACATGGGTGCCTGCATGCTTTTTCCTTTTATGTCCAAGAGAATTGAACCTCCCCACAGTTGACACTCCACACACTGCACACCCGAACCCTATAAGAGCCCGCTTCGCCACCCTTCGCCGGCCGCCGTCGTCCGAAAGACGCCCTGCGACGCGGTCGACTGGTGAAAGACGACAGGAGCTCGGAGCCTTGAGTTTGGTGGCCAAGGGCTGTGCCTTGAGTGGCGCCTTGGGGCGACACCCGATTTACGGCCGTGTGCCTTGGAGAGCATTTGCGAGTGGGGTAGGTCAACTTGGGGCGAGTTTTGGGTGGGGGGAAGCGACTGAAAGAAGCAGACGGTGGTGGTTTTGGTGAAGGAGGTGACTTTTGTGGTCAGTCCCTTCAGAGAAGGTGTTGGATATGCAAAGCACCGGCAAGAAACTTTGATCAGGAGCCAAGTGTTTTTGTTGGCTGTTAAAACTTTCGAAAAAAATAGAACAACGGGTTTGGATGGTTTTGAGTCCAAGTCGAGTGCTGTTGAATAATACCTTTGGACCTATCGTCGGAGGCCAAAACCCGACCCTCTAGAAGGTGCAGATGTGCTGACACTGCCGAAGTTCTTCAAATGCAGAAAGTTGCAGTTCTGTGAAGTGGCAAAGCAGCAAACACATAAAATCCGTTAAAATCCAATGAATCCAATGCAGAAGTTCACCAGCATCTTGCAAGGTGTTCTAGGCCGAGAGGCTGCATGACCTTCAAGAATCCTCCAAAATGGTTTACGAAGTGGTACAGAACTTGGTGCAATGCCTGAAACGCGAGAAACAAAGCCCACACTGGTTCACAGTGGAGTCACAAGGAACCACACAAAAATGGTTAGGGTACAATGGCATAATATGGCAAGCATGACCATATATCATATCATATGATATACGTATCTTATATATATATATAGTTTCTTAGAGAGGTACATCATATGAGGCAGAATATGTTCACATGCATATTTTTCGGGGGTCCCTCATGTGATCTACAATATTCCAGGAGAACAAAGGGCTGAATCTCCTTGGCATGCCCGAGTTGCTGTGTTCCCACCGGCCCACTTTTCGCCCCCGCTGCACCGGCGTTGTGCATCCCGCTCGGGTAGGTGGCCCATGACGCGGCCTTAGCACTGGAGGCACCAGGGCACCAGGGCGACAGTCGTTGTGCATCCCGCCCGCCAAACCGGAGTGCACAACACAGAACTCTGTAAAGGGTCGTGTCAGTGCAGTCCAAGCAGCTAGCCAAACGGTTTGGACATTTTTTGGACGACGACAGGACGACCCTTCCGTTGTTCGGAAAGGACGCGGGGCGCACGCACGTTTCGGCGAGGCAGGCACTCCACCTCCGGCTCGAACGGTGCATGCCTCTTGGCCGATGCTGGGGTCATGTGCCGGACCAGGCTGTGGTTGATGACAGGTTCGGTGGCTGGCCTACCCAGTGGATGACCGAATGTAACCTTGAATTTCTTTGGGGGGATGGGCCTGGGTTTCCCCACATGACAAGGCGAACAGCTGAACAGGTTAAGCCTGTATTTTCCACAAAAATGGAGGTAGCCAGTCTCGGCTTGTGTTCCTTTGAATTGTATTTAGGGATTGGCGAATCATGGATCGTAACAGCTGGTTATTTTGGATGGTTCTCGGTGCCAAGATTCCTAGATCCAAATGGAACATGAGGACTTGCGCGGTGTTAGGCATTGAATCATTGAACAGTTTTTGTTCATCAGAGAAAAGCAGGGTCGAGCTTTGCGATGTGGGGGACCCGGACAATTTGGGACTGACAGCGGGCCGCGGGGGGGTCGAAATTGTCAAGCGAACGCATTCAGCAATGGCTGCTTGTTTCCTACCACTACTATTGCGGAGGATTGGGAACGAACATACAGAAGCCTCGGAGGAACCGATCTTTTTTGGTGACATCTAAGAGAAGAAATGTGCTCAATGATCATGGAAGTAGATGGGCCTGGACCTGGACCCTTCAATGATGAAATCCTTTGGTGCCATCCACTTCGACTGGTCCGACCGGAGTGTATCAGCCCTTTCGAATCCTTTCAAACGGTTATCAACATGAATCTTTTTTGTGACACCAATTGACACCAACTACTGTATATAAATGGATCTAAATGCAAAACAATACTACCAGGACTCTGCAACAGGTCTCCTCTGGTGGCTTTTGCAGACTTCAACATCGCAGGTGGTGACCTGTAGAGTCGGGTGCTGGTATACCTGGATCTTCCAACTGTGACAAATGTTTGCCTTTTCATCTATAAAACCCAGCCAAAAGGCGGACATGTTGCATAGTTGGAAGATCCAGGTATGCATACATAGCCCATTCTTGCCCCGCCTGACCTCGCCTGGCCTCCAACCTCTCCGAGCGGGTCCGGAGGATATCGCCTTGGCGCTCTCGTTGCTGGGACCGTGGGACGCGCAGCCGGGGAAGCTCAGCCCGGTGAGAGCGGGGCGCTGGGGTTGAGTTGCAGCTTAGAGTCTTAGAGCGTGAAGATGAGAATGCCTCCAGAGGTGGATGGTCAAAGCTCTTCAGGTTTGGACGGGGAAGTTGAAATTGTCTGCTAAGAGTCTAGAAGAAGATGGGTGGGGAATCCCCAAAACTCTGTGTGGAAGTACACAGAACAAAAAGTGTGTTTTTTGTTGTGAAGTTGTTTTTGTTTTGGCTTGGGAAGATGTGAAACAAACAGATGCCTGGCCAAGACGGAAACTTGTGAATCTTGGCCAGGCTTGGAATTGGAGCATACAATTTCATGGTACTGATCGGGTGATGTGTCCAAGTGTCCAATGGGTCAACGGGTTCCGAAGCAACAAGGCATAGCAAGGCTGCAAGGTGCGGTGTAAATCCAGGTGGATTTGGGACTCGCACCTGAGACATTTTTACGTTTTTGAGAAGAAGAACCAGGAACTTCCGAAGACCCGGGAGCTAGTGTGTGGAAAAGGATTGGGCCAACTCCCCGGGGCGTTCGACCATCCTGCAGCTTGTCCTTGGTCTGACCATGTGCAGGATGTACACTCCCTGGAATCATGGAAGTGGAGCATGACCACTGGAAAGACTATGTTCCACGTCAATGATTGTGGGAGAGACGGTCTTTTTTTTTTTGAACCCGTTTACCTTGCTCTTAACGGAATGCCACCCGTAACTCCATCTCAGATGGTTCGTTTTCGCAGAACCTGTCCTTCACTAGGTCACCCACAGCGTTCAATGTCTTTTGCTCTTATGCCTGACGGACCCACAGACATTCGAAGGCAGACCCTCTCACATACCCAGACAAAAGGATCCCAAGTGGCCCAAGTCCAAACAACGTATCTCAGATCCCGTCCATGTTTATGTCCGACCTAAATACATCCTTCCAGGTTGCACATCCCTTGACATGAGCAGAGGGAACCATAGTTACTTGCATGAACCGATGATTTATCAATCGAATGACTATTCATCCGATCTATGGCACATGGACTATTTATCATATACTCATACGATCTCATACGGGTGTGTATTAAAATATGGAGACAGTCTACCCAGCCAGGGGCCAGAAAGGGGCTCTCCCCAGTTAAAACAAGTTCTCTTGGATGGCTTCTTTGACCCACAGCCATTCACCAGCCATTGGTCATTTATAGATATTTATAGGGAACCACAGTCTGGCATCATGGCATCAAATCATCATCCACTGATGGCATTCCAGAGCCATTCTACGAATATCTGTGAACTAGTTGTGCAGGCCAATGCATGGTGAAACAGTGAACCCCCCAAAAACGGGTCAGTCCCTCCACCGACCGACAACCGACGCGAGACGCTCCTCACCGCACCGATCCCAGGATCGACAAGGCCGTCCAACGCTTCCGTCAGGCGCTGGTGCCGCCGGGGTGCCCAGGCTGAGACTCCCGAGTTGTTTTGAAGATGTTTGAACCATCTTCTGGAACAAGTTATGGAATATATTTTAGTTTTAAATAGAACACACACACATAATTGATGTATATATATATATATATGTCGTATATCAAATTATATTCGTATACATCATATATACGTAAGATTTTTTTGGGGGTCAAAAGAGGGTGTTGGCTCAGGGTCTCCACAGCTTGGACTTCCCAGAAGGGACTTGAGAACATGGAAACAGATTCACACAGCTGATGTTTCAACCTTTGTAAAATTCCCCGGTCCTGTTGTGGTATCCCGGTTGAGACTGTGTCCATATGTGTCTCATTGTGTCCCACTGGAGGACTCAGATGGTGCTTAAGTCGAATTTCTCATCACGGATCGGCACCCCACCATTCAATGAAGAACAGGCGAGGTGTCCATCATGATTCTACGTCTCGCAAACCGCCATGACAGTGAAAAAACCGGAGGCTGCCGGGATTGGCATGCATGGAGTGCTCTCTCTCTCTCTCTCACCGCGAGATCTCATGTTTTTTCTTCTTGCAGGTTTCTGGTAAACTATAGACTATGCTGATGCCGAGCTTTTAACAGGGTCATGAATATCTTCGATATGGGGGCTTTGACGTATTTGTCCTGCGTCCTGCACATTAGTACACGCCAATCCGAGGCTGGATCGATCAGTGCAAAGTACCCAGGCAGGGATCGGCCAGGGCCAAAGTGCTGTGCCGCCTCAGTTAGGTAATGGAAGTGACCAATGCCTTAGTTGGTCTGGAGACTCCATGGATCGACTCCATGTAGAAACCATATGAGCAGCGCCATAAACTCCCGTGCAAATATAGGATAGAGGTTTTTGGCATGGCTCATATGGATCCACTGAGGTTTCTATGATCATCTATCCATATAGGCATATGGCGTTGGTCATCATGGGGTCCGCATGATCTGTATGTGTACTGGTCAGGAACTGGCTGTGGGTCGCACCCGTGAGCCCCGTTTCACCCTGTGAGAGTCAAAACCAACCAGGTCACCCTGATTTAACAAGTTAAGAGTAACAAGAGTGAACAGAATAGACTACCTGGGAGGTCAACCTACCCTGATTTGGGGGCGTTTTGACTCACAGTAGAAACCCTATTGATCCACTGCTACCCTTTGTGAAGGTCCTATGAAGGCCCCGGTGATGTGTGGAGACACTTTTACCAATTTGTTTGGAGGGTCCAGTCGTACCGAACCTCAGGTACGGTGGCAGTGTATTGCGAGGGGAAACATGACGAATGTGAGGTTTTCAGGAGGTGGGGACCTGGGCCCTAGGGCTCCAGTCGTACCTCCTCAGAAGGTATGACTGGACCCTCCTGGCACCCACCCCAGTTGTACGACTGGAGCCCTACTCCTTTGGACACTCTTTGGAACGGGAAGAGTCTCTTCTTGGCCGCTCCCGGCAGCCTGGTGAGCAAGCAGGAAGCATGAAGGGTCTCGAAGAAGTGATGATCTCGTGGAGATCAACGGAAGAGTCTGGTGATTGAAGAGGACAACTGGCCCATGGACACCCTGTCCAAGGGTGAAAACTCGATCACCACGCAGGGCGCTAGTGAATCTCTTCCGCTCAAATCTACCGAATCTACTGCCCCCCGCATTGCACGTTTTATGGATGGATAGGCTATGCCGCATGACCTGCAACACTCGGTAAATGATGATGACTATATATATATGTATAAATGGCCTACAAGCTCACCGACCTAACCGTCATCATCCACTGGGGCCCTGCTAACGGGATATTATACCGTCCGATATTGTATGCCTTGGTTTGGAACAGATTCACTCCAGTTACTAGTTCAGTGGCTTGGAATCTGGCTTTCACTGGTTTTCTTTCACTTCTCTCCGTGCAGGTCGACTCTTGTGGTGCCTCTTCCATGGCTGGACAGTCGGGGAACCCTGGAAGCAGTGGTGGAAGTTGGCCACATACAGCTACCAGGTGCCTCCAAACCGGGACTCCAAACGCTGGAAGCCGGCTTAAGTGCTCGTCGTGCTTAACTCGTGCTCCGATCCAACGGTCGAAAACATGTTTGGGGCACAGTAAGAGCTTGACATGTTTTTGTTCAATGGAGTGGGACATGCAATTATAAATTGCTATGTACCTCACCCTGAATTGGTTCATTCGAGTTTGCTGCAAATGGAGCACAACAAAAAAGATAGCGGGATGTGACGAGTCATACTCCTTGCGAGGTTGGTTTTGCTTGGTACATTGTTTTTAGAGGGTGGGCCCAAAACAGAAAGCCGTGATCACTGCCTAGTTCATTGGGGCCTTTTTCCTGGCCCGTTCCTTCCGGCTTCTTCTGTTTTTTTTTGGCACCGCATGCCGCGTGGTTTCAGGCGGAACGGTGAGAACAAAGAGAATCAGGAACTGTTGGAACGAGATGGCGCGGTGGATCTCGGGCGGAACGGATTCGTCTCGCCTCTCTCGCATCGCGTGCGAAAGCCGAACGGAATCCAAGAAGTGTAGATGTAGTGCAGTAATATGCAGTTAAATCAATGATAACTTAGCGATTGGGGACTTTGGACACCCTAATGTCAAGCCTCCGCCCAATGAAGTGTCAGTTGCTGGTAGTAATGTTCAAGACATTCTTGCAGACAGGTGAACCACCTTTTAGCGGGAGGCTCTGGCTGTTTTTAAGGACCTTTTTGCGGTTATGTTATGCTAAAATACTTGTGCGCATTGATGCGCTTGTCAACTTTCGTCTTGATGGATTGCTTGCAACTTGCAAGGGTACTGCCACGGGTGGAAGCTAAGGTGTCTCAGCAAACACACATCTCAAAGTGTGTTTTGGAGGTGCATCCAAGATGCCAAAAAACATCATACAGTACACCAGAAGAACAATCTGCAAACACTCATGTTTTGAGGATTTGCCCTGCAACCCAACAGAAAAAAACAACGCAAACAACGAGGTTTGGGCCAGTTCTGTAGGACCATTCAAGATCGGCTGTTGACTCAACACTCATATGTTTGTGGAAATCTTCTTTTTTGGGGGATGGACGTGTTTCTGGAATTTTTGTGGACCCAGGTCAGAAAACAAAGCATCATTTTTTTCCCGAAAGCATTGCGAAGGGTTCTTCCGGAAAATCCTTTGAACACTGACACTTCGACACTTACACTTCGACACTCACACTTACACACACACACACACACTGGAAGAGCGAAAGCATCCAAGTGCGAAGTATGCCAGTGTCAAAGTATGCAAGTGTAAGTATGCAAGCATGATATGCAAGGGTGAGTATGCAAGCATGCAATGACTATGCAAGCATGCAATGAGTAGGCAAGTGTGAGTATGGACGGGAGATGTCCTAATGAAAAAACATTTCCCCACTTTATAAATTCTCTCTTAAAGGCGGAGTGCGGGACGAACAGCGTCAACCGAAAGTGCAACCCTCTGCGGAGATCGTGCGTGTCGAGTGCGCGAAATGCAGGCGAGAGTGCGATGTGCCGGCTGTGCGCGCAACCCTCTGCGGAGATCGTGCGTGTCGAGTGCGCGAAATGCAGGCGAGGGTGCGATTTGCCGGGTGCGCGCGCAACCCTCTGCGGAGATCGTGCGTGTCGAGTGCGCGAAATGCAGGCGAGAGTGCGATTTGTCCGGTCCGCGCGCAACCCTCTGCGGAGATCGTGCGTGTCGAGTGCGCGAAATGCAGGCGAGAGTGCGATTTGCCGGCTGCGCGCGCAACCCTCTGCGGAGATCGTGCGTGTCGAGTGCGCGAAATACAGGCGAGAGTGCGATTTGCCGGCTGTGCGCGCAACCCTCTGCGGAGATCGTGCGTGTCGAGCGCGCGAAAGCAATCTGTGGAGCTGGAAGCTGAGAACTGGCGACTTTGTAGTACAACTTTAGTACGTAGAGTAGCTGGGGAGCTGGAAGCTGAGAACTGGCGACTTTCTAGTACAACTTTAGTACGCGGAGCAATCTGTGGAGCTGGGGGCTGAGAACTGGCGACTTTGTAGTACAACTTTAGTACGCAGAGTATCTGGAGAGCTGGAAGATGAGCACTGGCGACTTTGTAGTACAACTTTAGTACGCGGAGTAGCTGGGGAGCTGGAAGCTGAGAACTGGCGACTTTCTAGTACAACTTCAGTACGCGGAGAAATCTGTGGAGCTGGGAGCTGAGAACTGGCGACTTTGTAGTACAACTTTAGTACGCGGAGTAGCCGGGGAGCTGGAAGCTGAGAACTGGCGACTTTCTAGTCCAACTTTAGTACGCGGAGCTATCTGTGGAGCTGGAAGCTGAGAACTGGCGACTTTGTAGTACAACTTTAGTACGCGGAGTAGCTGTGGAGCTGGAAGCTGAGAACTGGTGACTTGGTAGTACAACTTTAGTACGCGGAGCAATCTGTGGAGCTGGAAGCTGAGAACTGAGAACTGGCGACTTTGTAGTACAACTTTAGTACGCGGAGTAGCTGGGGAGCTGGAAGATGAGAACTGGCGACTT